ATTATATATATATATATATATATATACACGTAAATATTTTTTAAATATATACATGTATGTTTGTGTATTTATATATACATAATAAATATACACAGTACACACGCATATATTATGTAAACAAAAACTTTTATTTCAGATGCAATTAATCGCGATAAATCATTTGACAGCATTAGTGTTTAATACATTGATATATATTCATTATATTATACCAAGCACTCAACCTGGTATACTTTAATTGTATGTCTACATAGTGCAGCATGCATTGCATACTCTACACCAGTCTAGTGTATACATCGTCTGGGCAGTAAACGGTCAAACATTTGGAATAATAATTTTTTTTTTTTTTCAGCATCATTACTCCAGTTTTCACTGTCACATGATCCTTCAGAAATCATTTTAAATCATGCTGATTTGCTGCTCAGGAGACATTTATTTTTATTATAAATGTTGATAAAAAGTTTTTGATGCTTAATATTTTATGGAAACACATCATATACTCACATACATACTGTACATATGATGCAATACCATTTAAAAATTTGGGATGAAAAAAGGAAAGAAAGAGATTAAAGTGCCCCATTATGGATTTTGCCACGATTTGTTTGACGTAGGGTTTTGTGGGGATTCGTAAACGACAATGGGCGTCGGGACGCAAGATTCCATCATTTCAGCACGTGTAGTGTGTCAGTGGACGACAACCGATTCCGCGTCTGCGATGCTTCATGACATCACGACAGAAAGACTAGCATGTTTAATTTTTTTTCCGTCGTCCACGACGAGTTCTGTCACATTGGTGACGTTGACCAATAGCAGCACAGAAGCTCTTTCATACACAGGTTTCAAACATGGCAAAACGAAAGAGAGATGATGGTGCTGCTAGGTGGAATTATGAGATGGAGGAAAGGTTCGTGGAGCTGTGGCAACAGTACTCCTGCCTGTATGATGTGTCATCGAGGGACTACCAGACAGAACAAAGAAAGAAAAATGCTGGCGAACTATAGCGGAAGTGCTTCAGCAATGTTTACACTCTTGTTTTCGGAAGTCAGTCCTAGTTCCGCCTTCTTGATGACATCATGCGCGTCATTAAAGACGGCATGAGATGAATGGTCGGGAAGCAACGTGTAGTCTGACATGTTTCTTGTCCACACCACCACAAGATTTTAGGAGTCAAAATCGTGAAATCTGACACAGTGACTATCGTGACCGACAAAAATATTGTGTAGTCTGAACCCGGCATAAGGTGTTTACATGTCTATTCTGCACTTCAGTAATGCGACTAAAATAGGAATACTCCACATGTCTTAATTCGATTTCTGTTTACTTCGATTATGACTTTAGCCGGATTAAGATAATCAAAAATCTCTGTTTACATGGTAGATTCTTAATCAGAGTATTGTCGTCCATGTAAACGTACTCAGTGTTTAGGGTGGACAAGATACCTTACATATAGGGCCCAAAATACCAGAGGTGTACACTATACCTCAAAACAAGATAGCCTACCAAGAGGTTCTGTTAATGGACCATATATATATAACAATAATCAATATAATAGTAACAATGACAATAAAAACAATGAAGAGAAAAAAATAAATAAACTACAACATGGAACAACAAAGTATAATAATAATAGTAATGAGAAATAACACCAAAGTTGTCTGTTGCTTGTTAGTTGTTTTTTTCTTGGGCAACAGGTGTCTAACACCAAAACAATGGATAAGGCACAATCAGGAACACAAAGAAACCCTTCAATAACAAACCAAATCACTCAAACAAACAAAGAAGAAAAGAAAACCCATTCACCTTATTACCACCCCACAAGATACACAATCAAAAAAAAAAGTGATCATCCAGTGAAATCAACCCCAAAATAAAACAACTTCTGGGTTCCTAAATGAGCAATACAAGCAAGACAAGATGGTACGTAACCCAATACAATCACAAGATTAATAAACACCTAAACACAATCAAGATATACATATATAATTAAAGGAAAATACAAAAAAGAAAAAAAAAAGGCAAAAAATAACCAAAATAACTTGCATACAAATCAGTTACCCACTCACATGCACTCGCGCACACACAATCAACCAAACAATTCAAAACAACAAACAGGCCAGGGGTGTATTCCAGAAAGCAGGTTATGTGACATAACCGGGTATGTTTGAGGATAAGCGAGCAGATGACCTCAGCTTTCGGTTCCAAAATCGGAGGTTACTTTCAGGGTATGTAAGTAACCATAGTAACTTGCTCTCTGAAGATAACCTGCTCCGGAGCAGGGGTGTATTCCAGAAAGCATGGTTAATTTATCATCAGCTAAACCCTGAACTTTCGGTTGATTAACCCCAAACCTTGCTTACTCGAGGTATGTGGTTCCATTTATATTACCCCCAAATATTTCCTTGCATAAATACGATAAAAGGGAGAATTACCTTTCAAGTGTGCTATATTTACATGCACGTTAACATTGCCTGGATGCACCCAGCTAATCTAAAATTACACAACCAACAAATCATCATTACATTATATGATTTGTTATACACTGAATCCCACAAACGCACCCATTCTAAATGAATAATCCCTCTCATCTCAACACAACTTCGCTTACCAGAGGAGGGAAGATATGAGCGTCACACCAATTCACACCAGTTCTCGCAATTGCAAGTTTGTATCGCCAAATTCAGCCATTATAACTCACAATTCAGAATTGTGAGGTATAAACTCGGAATTGCAAGAAAAATAGACAGAAATTGTGAGATGTAAACTGGATATAAAATTTTGTACTCTTTAATTCCGTGGCTTCCATAGACTGCTACTGCAGAACTGTCATTTTCTATTGGTCTTAAAGTACATTGTATTACCACATTAAAATGTCCAAAAAACATGGTAATACTTGCATTTGTAGTACTTTTCTTGAAAACTAGTCAATAAAAGTGCGCCATCTGTTGGTCACCTGAAGTACTAAAATTAAATTCACCACCTTCAGTTCTTTATGTTTTCAGATTTGGTCCCCCTGAGTGAACAACTGATTCTTCCTCCACAGATTATTAAACCCAGCTACCCAGAAACGGTTACAAATAAGCAAAGGTTAAAGGCCATCTGATTGGAGAAGGCAGCTGCTCCCAGTGCTGACGCTTGTGCAAATGCTCCGATGTCCGTGAGCGCCGCCCCACCCCCAGACCCTCCGCATGCCCTCTCGCCCCTCTCTGGGGGTATATATAGCCTGAGAGGGGTCCTGGACAGTCCTGGCAGTCAAAATGAGGCTTTACCTCCCCGTCTGCTGCCTGCTGCCTCTACTGGCACTCGCCACTGCAGGTAAGAAAACTGGATTCAAACGCAGGTGGACTGCTGAACTAAGAGCTGCAGGTGACTTCTGCATGTACGCAGCTGAAGTGTGAAGTTAAAGGTTTTAGTAACAGTGATTGGGTATTCGCCTGGGAGTATTAGGCCTCAAGATAAGTATCTGAAGTCCTAGATCAGATTGCTTGTCCTTGGTGGAGATGAGCGTCCCTGCATCTGCCTGCTTGTATTCATAGTTTGTGTATGGAGGAGTGTTTTACAGAATGTGTAGTAAAATGTGGGGTTTCTAGTCTTAATGTTTTTATGAACTTGAATATGTAAGTTAGTCAAATTGTTCTTTGATTCCTTCACTAAGAATCATCAAGTGCACTCAAGTACAGCATGTTGAATTTCAGTTTCTGGATGGCATGTACTGTATGTGTAGTGCCGGCGAAAGTGTTTCTGGGAGTCATTCTCGCTGATTTCAGGGCTTGTGTAGACACATAATGCCTTGAAAAAACTGAACGACCAACTTTCTTATTACTCCGTTGAATTATGTAACTTCTGATAGGTATGAAAATGTCTTATAGAACAGGGGAGATCTCATCTGCTGCGCTCAGTTTATACCAGGAATATTATAACTAAAACCATTAGGGTGGGGGAAGAAATGTTAGTTGAAATAATATGAACGTTAACTGAAATAAAATAAATGATATATATAAGATCTTTTAATTTTAGCTACATAACAAAGCTTAACTTGGTGTATTAAAAAAACTAAAACTGGGATAAAAATGAATAAAAACTAGGCTATATAATAAAACAAAATTACAAAACTAATTAAAATGACAAATAACAATTACTAAAAGTTCAATTAAATAAAAACAGTAAAAATAAAAACATTCAAAAACTATAATAAATCTCAAATAATTCTAAAATATTAAATCATACATCTTAATCATTAACACACACTTTTATAGGTCAATGACTGATAAGAGTGTTCACGATAAAGAAAATAAAAAAATATTTAAAAATTCTGCTTTAAAATGCATACTGATTTCTTGAAATATACTTTTTATATTCATGTAGGTCATATAGCTTTAAAAAAAATGTTGATATACTTTTAAAAGTCAAATTTTATAATTACCATGAATTATTAATTTTTTAGGGAGTTGCACCGCTTGACCTGAACTAACCTTGCCTTGTCATAATTGTTTAAAGACATTTAGACTTTGACACGCATTCATTTTCTTTTTTTTTCTAAATATTTTTTCTGCATGTTGGTTGCACCACATGACTTTATCAGTAACGACACATAACTTTGAATTGGAAGACAAATGTTTCTCAAATATTAATAAGTGCAGACATTTTGTTAAAATACATATCTTTTTAGAAGGTAAATAATAAAACATTTCAAAATACTTAATACACTTTATCTACAGCACTTTGATTCTTTAATTATATCACCCTGACAAATAGTGAAATTAATTTTAAGTTAGAAATATAAAAACATGCTCATCATAGAAGAGGTGTATCAAAGTTATTGAATGTATGAATTGCATTTCAATTGTATTTTTTTAAAATAATAATTAATATACATAAAAAATATATATTTTTGCCGTGATCTTGTATGTATCAGAATGTATTGCCACAAAGAAAACTAGTTATTATTCTTACAAATTTGAATACTAATTCTTATATCTTTTTCTTTAAAATTCCTATTCATTGAATTGATGATAGCTGGAATCCTTTGGTCAAAATTGCAATCAACTGTAAGGGAAACTGTTGGTGGCTTTCTTGTCTCTCAGTAGTCAAAGAAAACTGGTTACTCTTGGTGAAATAATTAGAGACTGCCGCTTCCTCCTGCTTGATTTTTAGTATTATCCTTGTCTGTCCTTGCATTGTTCTTGTTCTCTTTCTGCGTCTGTGCTGTTAATAATTAATACACATAAAAAATATATATTTTTGCCGCATTCCTGTGATCTTGTATGTATCAGAATTTATTGCCACAAAGAAAACTAGTTATTATTCTTACAAATTTGAATACTAATTCTTATATCTTTTTCTTTAAAATTCCTATTCATTGAATTGATGATAGCTGGAATCCTTTGGTCAAAATTGCAATCAACTGTAAGGGAAACTGTTGGTTTCAAACTGGTTACTCTTGGTGAAATAATTAGAGACTGCCGCTTCCTCCTGCTTGGTTTTTAGTATTATCCTTGTCTGTCCTTGCATTGTTCTTGTTCTCTTTCTGCGTCTGTGCTGTCAGGTGTTCAGAGTGCACCATGAAATCAGACTCTGTTCGTCGAGCAGTTGCATGGTCATGCTTCACAGCTCCGCTAACACGCCCCCTTGTACTTTCTATCCACATATACGCTTACAGTCCACAGCTGCTGTCACAACGCTACTGTCTCAATCACTATTTATTTCTGTCTTGCAGGCCTTGTAGGGGCAACCATTATGTTAACAGAGGGACTTAAAGCCTCTGTCCTGCCTTGCTACTGTATGTGGCCTGTTTTTGCACTGGGGCTTCCCTGTTACAGCCCAGTCACACCAGCCAATCGTACGCAGACATTACTCGCAAGCCAGAGTAAACCGTGTTGCTATACAAACAAATAAAACGTACACAACACTTATCAGCAGGTTGTACAGTACGTACATGCATTAGGTATATTAAAACACATATCCATGCATAAACAAATACATGAAACCAAATCAACGCACTCTCAAAAAATTTGTAACTATTTTACATTTTGGTAAATTTGTTGCAAATTTGTTAGTTTTAGGGGTGGACTTTCAAGCTTTATTTTCTAAAAAAACATATATTTACTTAAATCATATCGTACAAATTTATACTAAATCGTCACCTAGTACAATAGTTATGGTTTCTCATGAGATTGGGTTGAACCAAATAGACTAATTGGAATACAAATGGTCAATAAGCAAATCTGTAAGCACTATTGAAATATAAGAAAAATAGATACAATGCTGAGATCATTTCAATAATGTAAAACAAACAAACAAACAAACAAAAAGGGCAATATATATTTCATGATTTATAAGTGATTCACTAAAAAGAACCGGCTCATAAGAGTCATTCACTCGAGCATCAGACTTCACTAGTCAAATGATGAATCAATTCACTAAAAAGAACTGGCTTGTAAGAGTCATTCACTCGAGCATCAGACTTCACTAGTCAAATGATGAATCGATTCACTATAAAGAACCTGCTCGTAAGAGTCATTAACTCGAGCTTCAGACTTCACTGGTCAAATGATTAATCGATTCACTAAAAAAAACTGCTCATAAGAGTCATTCACTCGAGCTTCAGACTTCACTGGTCAATGAATCGATTCACTAAAAAGAACCGGCTCATAAGAGTCATTCACTCGAGCATCAGACTTCACTAGTCAAATGATGAATCGATTCACTAAAAAGAACCTGCTCGTAAGAGTCATTCACTCGCCTTTGGGGACATAGAAGGTTAATTTTTTGTTTGAGAATCAGACTTCACTGGTCACGCATTGTATGTTTTTGCAGGGAACATGTTCACAGTATTTTGGTGTTTTATCCGCATTGGAAACATAACGAAAAATGAATGTCATGAAAATCATTCTTTCGTGTTCTTTTGTGTCTTTAATTAAATTTTGCTTAGTGACCACAGTTATCTTTGATAAATCACTCCTCTACACAACCACATAAGATAGTGGTTTGACAGTCAGTGCTATCAGAAATAAACTGAAGAGAAATGTCATTTTAGTCTATAAAAGCAGAGAAACTCTTCTCAGCATAGGCTATTTGTGTCATGAAGACCTAGGACTTGGGATCGAGCACCTGTCCATTTCTGTCCTCACCTCAGAACATGCTGTCGAAGGGGGAAGGGGCTGGTCTACGTCACTTAGACCTTACTGGAAAAATGCAGATGATCTTGTATTATCAAATATGGATGGTTGGTTTCATTTTGGGGTAATTTACCAGTACTGGTGGTATTACTTCAACAAGAGACACCTGAGACACTGGAATAATAATACACTCAAACATTCCTTCTCCACTGTGACCAAAAGCTCCCCAGCCATTGTCTACAAAACAATACCTGTGTGGATATAGGGATGGTCCTTGGAGAACGTAGCATTGCTGCTCTTCTTACCACTAAAGCAGGCTCTAATTTAATTAAATCAACATGGTAGAATATGATATGGAACAGAATGAGCTGTTCAACTTATTATAAAATAGTACAACACTCAAGTTCTGTAGCACATCATAACCAGCCTTTCTATTTCAGTGACATTTAAAAAAAGAAGTTGCAAGGTCAAATAAATCCAAGTTCCCCTCATCTGTATCTTCATAAAAGTAATAATTTTACATCATATTAGTGTTGTGACAATTATGTAACCATAATCCTGGACTAGTAAAGACAGCAAGCTAGTAATAAAGAGTAACTCATACCACAGTAACATGGCCTTAGGCCTTCAAAATGACTCATGGTTACATTGATGACACTCTTGCACTATGACTTTGGCCTAAATACAGCTCTCCTGAGGCTGTGAGCATGTGTATAAGTGTGCAAAACATATCGCATTTACACTGACTAGAGCCAATTCAATTAATTAGAGACTTCTAAGGAACACATAAGCTTGTCAGAGAGCATTTTTACAAGTAGTCAAATGCCAAAGGTGGAAGAAGAGGTTTTTCTGAACTAACTATAGACACTGGTGCCCTCTGCTGTCAGTATGTTGTTGAACTGTTGCGTAAATGTATGGCTAAATCAATTTAGGGTTTGTCGTTTGATAGTAATTTAGCATTAAGTCAAAAAAAGTGCTTTTGAATGTGCATTTTTTACATTTTAATATGGATTACATTTTGTAGGCCACTGAAATGGCTGTGTACAGAAAACACTTCAATCTGCAAAAATGTTACTGGCAAACGAATTAATGCGCCATTATTTGCTTGAAAGTGGAGCTGCACTTTTCAATGGAAGCATTTGACATTAAAACTAGAGGTTGAAATCCAGTACAAAGACGCCATGCTAACACCTTTATCAGAGTAAAGGTGCCTTCGCGCCGGAGGACAGTATGAAAAATAAACCTTGCTCTGATGATCCACATGAACAGAAAGGACTTGGCATTCTCTTCTCCTGCCAGCTCTGCTCCCTATTTCAAGATGTGATTCACATGAAAAGCATTTAGCTCTCATCGAGAGCATTCATCGCCGCATGAATCACAGAGATGGGTCATCGCCACAGACTCACACATTTGTGCCAACAGCAGCTCTACCACCAAGTCACATTGTTCAAATCCAGCTATTACAGCTACACCATTTTAAATTAAGGTCTGTACATGATTGAGGATAGTAACCATGGTTTTATTTCATTTAGTTGTGTAATGTTGTAGATCAGGAGTGCCCAGTCCTGTTCCTGGAGATCTACCTTCCTCCAAAGTTCAGCTCTAACCCTAATCAAACACATATGAACTAGCTAACTAAGACCTTCATAAACACTTGATAATTACAAACTGGTGTGTTGGAGCAGGGTTTTCACCAAACTCTACAAGAAGGCAGAGCTCCAGGAATGGACACTCCTGTTGTAGATGATACTGTCTCCAACACAGAATCCTGTATGCTAATGTTATATACCTGCAGTGTGTGAGATGCTTTTCTTCAGGGATGTTATGTGGAAGCATAGACTAAAAGAAAATGGACAAAGCATCTCTACTTCCTTCCACTATAGAAAAGTGAAGCCAAAACCTCTCAGTATATGGCCGCTGTCATCTTGCAAAAATGACGTCACTTGGACCCCGAGTCTGCACTGTATAGTTTTTCATTTGAAGTCCAAGTTTGCACAGTAGCGATTCATTTTTTGGAGTCAGAGTCTGTGCAGTAGCAAATCATTTGGATCCTAAGTCTTGTCTACATAGTATGATTCATTTGAAGGGTGAACATACGGGCCATTTTTACGGGACACATCCTTGTCAGGATTTCTATATTGCCTAAAATATCCAGGTTTTGGCTGTTTGCGCTGTGCAGATCGATCGTTGTATGACATCCGCGAGAGCTCACCATCAGATCGATCGGTGTGTGACATCAAAGTACCGCAAGAGCTAGAGAGCAGACGGCTCCTTATGCTTTTGAATCGCGCTTGCTGTACTTTGATTTCATACAACGATCGGTCTATGCAGCGCCGCTTCAAGTCGAATGAATGAACGAACATAACGTGTGCGTATTTGCATCACTTTGACCATTCTCCGTAGATTCCTCCTTCTCACACACCACGATTGGTCGAATGTGTACAATGGCTGCACGTTATTGGTCGATCATTACCCTCAGCAAGTATAACAGGAAAACAGAGCCAAATACAGAAATCCTGGCCAGGATGTGTCCCGTAAAAATGGCACGTATGGCCACCTTATTCATTTGGAGTCTGAGTCTGCGCAGTAGAGATTCATTTGGAGTCTGAGTCTGTGCAGTGATTGTATCAAAGTCCCACCCAAACACTTGCAGACCTAATCACAAGCTCACAATCATGGCGCCACACCCCGTTTTTATAGCATCAAATTTTTCCCAAAGATGGTTTCCATCATTTTAGGTCAGGGGTGCCCAAACTCGGTCCTGGAGGGCCGATGTCCTGCAGAGTTTAAATCCAACCCCAATTAGGCACACCTGAACCAGCTAATCAAGCTCTTACTAGGCATACTATAAACTTCCCGGCAGGTGTGTTGAGGCAAGTTGGCGCTAAACTCTGCAAGACACCGGCCCTCCAGGACAGAGTTTGGGCACCCCTGACCTAAAATGATGGAAACCATCTTTGGGAAAAATTTATTTGAAGTGTAATTTGGCTCATATCCCATTTGTTTACTTGGAGAGGGTGGGGTTTATGACCTATACTTCAGACAGCCACTAGGTGGCGATCAAAATGTTTTGGCTTCACTTTTCAGGACGTGTGTGGCACACTTGTACTGAAATTTCGCCAAAAACTAAAACATTTGGCCAAAAACCTGCGTCAGCATCCATTTTGTGCATACGACATGGATAAGCTACAGTACAATAGGTGCACATGTAAGCAGTGTGGATGCACTTCACTGTGACCAAAAATGATGCTAGAGTAGCAACATATAAAATTGGTTTGGCTGAAATATTGAGAGGCAGTTCGTTGCAGAAGAACTTTACTACAAAGTTTAACAACACCCTAAACGGAGTACCAAATCAATTACCCAACTACCAAATTCAACTATTTAAACACTATTTTTAGGTTTTGGTTTTCGGTTTCCATGGTGTTTTGGTAAAAAATTAATCGAACTTGTGCATAATTACTTTTGTCGCCATTATGTTGTAATATCAAATATGATTCATTCTTCATTCTGTGTGAATGTGCGGAGTTATATCCCATCACATTTAGGGTAATATTATTGTTTTTCTTCCAAAGATGCAGTGGAGTCTGAGACTGAGCCGCTTGTGCCGTTCCAGCTGAAGTCTGAAGGCGAGCTGTTTAACTGCTGTGATGGCACAGAGGATATAAGCCAGAGCTCCTCCAATGACACTCCTGCACCAAACAGACCTGTGTGCCAACCCTGTGGCACTGGTGCACATATTGACACCACGGCAGAAGATGTCAGCTCTGAGGATGAAGAGGAAGAGGTTGTTTCAGAAGAGAAATCTGAAGAGTTGAATCAAGAGGAGACCTCTTCTGAAGAGATATTTGAGGAGGAAGCACAGGAAGAAGAGGCAGAAGCTGAGTTAGATGACTCTAATGAAGCAGCGGCGGAGGAAGTTATTGAGGAGGCACGTGAAGACGTGAAGGAGGAGGAGATCTCAGAGGTAGACAGTGATGTAGAGTCACAAATAGTTGTTGAGGAATCTGTGGAAGAAGACGACGAGGAAGATTCTCAGACTGAAGAGGAGGTAGTTGAGGAAGAGGAGGTTCTTCGGACTGAAGATGAAGCAGGTGAAGAAGAGGAACTTGCTCAGACTGAAGAGGAGGTAGTTGAGGAAGAGGAGGTTCTTCAGACTGAAGATGAATCAGGTGAAGAAGAGGAACTTGCTCAGACTGAAGAGGAGGTAGTTGAGGAAGAGGAGGTTCTTGAGACTGAAGATGAACCAAGTGAAGAAGAGGAACTTGCTCAGACTGAAGAGGAGGTAGTTGAGGAAGAGGAGGTTCTTCAGACTGAAGATGAAACAAGTGAAGAAGAGGAACTTGCTCAGACTGAAGAGGAGGTAGTTGAGGAAGAGGAGGTTCTTCAGACTGAAGATGAAACAAGTGAAGAAGAGGAACTTGCTCAGACTGAAGAGGAGGTAGTTGAGGAAGAGGAGGTTCTTCAGACTGAAGATGAAACAAGTGAAGAAGAGGAACTTGCTCAGACTGAAGAGGAGGTAGTTGAGGAAGAGGAGGTTCTTCAGACTGAAGATGAAACAAGTGAAGAAGAGGAACTTGCTCAGACTGAAGAGGAGGTAGTTGAGGAAGAGGAGGTTCTTCAGACTGAAGATGAAACAAGTGAAGAAGAGGAACTTGCTCAGACTGAAGAGGAGGTAGTTGAGGAAGAGGAGGTTCTTCAGACTGAAGATGAAACAAGTGAAGAAGAGGAACTTGCTCAGACTGAAGAGGAGGTTCTTCAGACTGAAGATGAAACAAGTGAAGAAGAGGAACTTGCTCAGACTGAAGAGGAGGTTCTTCAGACTGAAGATGAAACAAGTGAAGAAGAGGAACTTGCTCAGACTGAAGAGGAGGTTCTTCAGACTGAAGATGAAACAAGTGAAGAAGAGGAACTTGCTCAGACTGAAGAGGAGGTTCTTCAGACTGAAGATGAAACAAGTGAAGAAGAGGAACTTGCTCAGACTGAAGAGGAGGTTCTTCAGACTGAAGATGAAACAAGTGAAGAAGAGGAACTTGCTCAGACTGAAGAGGAGGTTCTTCAGACTGAAGATGAAACAAGTGAAGAAGAGGAACTTGCTCAGACTGAAGAGGAGGTTCTTCAGACTGAAGATGAAACAAGTGAAGAAGAGGAACTTGCTCAGACTGAAGAGGAGGTTCTTCAGACTGAAGATGAAACAAGTGAAGAAGAGGAACTTGCTCAGACTGAAGAGGAGGTTCTTCAGACTGAAGATGAAACAAGTGAAGAAGAGGAACTTGCTCAGACTGAAGAGGAGGTTCTTCAGACTGAAGATGAAACAAGTGAAGAAGAGGAACTTGCTCAGACTGAAGAGGAGGTAGTTGAGGAAGAGGAGGGTCTTCAGATTCAAGATGAGGCAAGTGAGGACAAGGAGATTTCTCAGACAGAAGATGAGGCAGAGGCGGTTTCTCAGCCTGAAGAGCCAGTGGAAGAGAAATCAGAAGAGGTAACGGAGGAAGAAGCTGAAGAAGAGGAAGCTGTAACGGAGGAAGAAGGAGCTCCTGAGGTTGTGGAAGAAGAGCGATCTGTAGAAGAACCAGAAGCCTTTGAAGAAATGATGGAAGCAGGAGCAGCTGAGGAACTAGTTGCAGATGTTGTTGAGGAGGTTGTTGAAGTAGCACAAGAGGAAAGTGTGAAGCTTGTGGAACCAACTCCTGAACAGGTTCAAGAAGATGTTTCTGCACTTGTTGAAGAAACAACAGTGGAAGAAGTGTCAGATGATGTACCAGCAACCAAAGCGTCTGCGAAAGGTACAATATGATTCACTCAGCATAAATGATATTGGACATTTAAAAACAAGATTGACAAGAAAACAAATTGTCGAATTAGAATCATTCAGTTCATTTGCAAAATTATTTTAGAAAATCGCAAGTTCTAGATTGTGCACAATTAATTTCGCACACCTAAACAATGTTAAATGTGATGGCACCTCTACCGTTGTTCTGCGAAATTTCATGCGTGATATCCAATCACTTAAATACGAATCCATGCAATCAGGAATTAAGTAGGAGGGCAGATTTTCCTCATGTTCAATTCGGTCACGTAAATTTGTCATTCGCCAGCAGAATGTAAGCTGCTTGGTTTAAAGGTGACTTCTGTCTGAGAAAAAAAAATTGCTAATGTGACTGCACCTTTATACTAATGTAAAGTCTAATATACTTAAAAGCTTCAGAATCATCGTAAAGCCTCTGGTTAAACTCCATTACAGTGGAAATAACCAGAGGGAAGGAACTATTTTGTTGTCTCGTCGCCAGGGGGCAGAAGAGGACACTACTGTAAAAGTCAGTTCTTCATGCTTCTCCACCTGATAACTTTGGTCGAAGGTGGCACAGGAATAAACCCACCACCAAAATAACCTAACAGAAATAACCCTTGGCAGAAATCCATTGCCATTCATAACGATATGTTCTCTGGCCTGCATGGAGGACAGTTTTGTAATAGGGAAGAAATGTTTCAGATGCTTTTAATAGTACATTGATTGTGTTTAACTGGCTCCAAATAGATGTCTGATGTAGATGTTGCAGTAGATGGACCCAACATGACAGTTTGTGTTTAGGAGGCAGATTATTTTTGTAAACCTAGACAAACACTATTGATAAAATTATGTTAGCTTAAAATAATAGAAATAAATAATGGAAAAAATGAAAACCAAACTAAAACAGCATAAGATAAATAACTGAAATGGCAATTCAAAAAATTGAAACTGCTAAATGATTAAAAGTTTGTTTTGTGGGTCTACAAGAAAATGTTATTATATGAGCTTCATGTTTTACACTGATTTTGACTGGCTGTTTTTCTCTGGCAGTGGAGAAAACAACCCCGTCAGGTCCTACCACAAGAGATCAGTCTCACATCGAAGAGACGCTGCGTCTGGCAACAGCTGAACCTTCACGGGAATTTGTCGGTGTGTCATATAATGAAAATAAAAAAATATATATAAAAGTACCTTTCAGGGCTATACAGTGTGTACCATATGAGGCCAGTTATTTCATTAATCAGTCACATTTTAGCTTCACCAAAATCTCCAAATGGTAGCAGAATGAGTCAGTTTCTATTATAATTTCATCAACTCTACCTCTCGTAGATGCTCTGAAGAAGCTGCAGCATGTCTACAACACTGCAATTAAACCCATGGACAAGGCCTACAAATACAATGAGCTCCGGCAGCATGAAGTGTCAGGTAAAGTCTTTGGATTTTGGGTTCAGTTTTACAACATCACTCCAGACTACTGCTCTTCTACCATGAAAAGGATCTAAATGAACCCCTATCCTCAGTTGAACTCTTGTCTTTTCTTCACATTATTCAGATGCAGAGATCACCTCTAAGCCCATGGTCCTGTTCCTGGGTCCTTGGAGCGTTGGCAAGTCTTCCATGATCAATTATCTTCTAGGTCTTGATGACACTTCACAACAGCTGTACACTGGTAACCCATCAATCTTCAAATGATTGATTGTAAATTGAAATAAAATGAAATGTAGTCCTCCTTTGTTCCTTCATCTCGCTCTTGTTTGCTTTCTCAGGGGCTGAGCCCACAACCTCAGAATACACTGTACTGATGCACGGTGAGAAGTTTCGCACCATTGAGGGTATTGTCATGGCGGCAGACAGTTCCCGCTCTTTCTCACCCCTGGAGAAGTTTGGTCAGGGGTTTCTGGAAAAGCTGGTGGGAATCGAGATGCCGCACAAACTCCTGGAGCGCGTCAACTTTGTCGACACGCCTGGAATCATCGAGAACCGCAAACAACAAGAGAGAGGTGAGAATACAGTATTCACAAAGACTTTGTTTGAGTTTGGTATGTACAAGAGGACAATCAGACAACATGCAGTTCTGAACATGAATTGAATATAGATACACAATCTAGGTTATCAGACCATTTCTGACGCGCCACATTTCCATTGATGTTTCTTTTATGACATTTAAGGAATAAATACTTGGAAAAGGAAATGAAATATCATGAACAAATTTTAGACTTTAACACTTTAATTCATTATTGATTAATTTAACTCTTTATTTACTATCAACTAGTTGCTTATTAACATGCATTTTACTAGCATATTGGCTGTTTTATCTTCATCCCTAATCCCTACCCGATACCTAAACTTCACAACTACCTTACTAACTATTAATAAGCAGTAGGAATGTAAGGCAAAAGTTGTAGTTAATAGTTAATTGTGAAAATTGGACCTTAAAATAAAATGTGACCCAAATTTTGAATAAAAATGCATTCATAACAATTCTTGCAAAAAATGTGTGTACACAGGCATTTGCATGACTTTTCAGAGTTTAAATACAATCCAATAATTGGCTTTAACTCTATTGAACAGCAATACTAAACAAAGCAATTTTGAAATATACTCTACCCTTGAAAAGTTCAGCATTCAGCAAGGATGCATCAAATTGATCAAAAGTGAAAGACGCTGATAATATTACAGAAGATTTCTATTTCAAATAAATGCTTTCCTTTTGAACTTCCTATTAGAGAATTCTGAAAAATGCATCACAGTTTACAAAAATATTAAGCAGCACAACTGCTTTCAATACTGATAATAATAAAAAGTGTATCTTAAGCAGCAGTTCATCATATTTGAATGATTTCTGAAAGATTATGCGACACTGAAGCCTGGAGTAATGATGCTGAAAATGTAACTTTACCTTCAAAGGATTAAATACATTTTAAAATATTTGTATTAATTTATTAATATATTATAAATATTTCAGCACCACTGAATAAGTCGTTTTTTTAGTATTTAGTACAGTATTCTACAAGCATTGGCAGAAGAAACCAGAAGGCACCAGTTCTGAATAAAAAAATCAGCTTCAACTCTAAAAGATACTAACATGAGTACTAATACTTAGTATAACTAAGTGTACATTTACAAATTTGAAACTCTCTTGTTGTCCTTTAGGGTACCCCTACAGCGAAGTGTGCCAGTGGTTTATCGACCGTGCCGATCTCATCTTCCTGGTGTTTGACCCAACCAAACTGGATGTCGGTTTAGAACTTGAAATGCTGTTCAGACAGATGAAGGGACACGAGTCACAGATCCGTATCATCCTCAACAAGGCTGACAGTCTAACAACCCAGGACCTAATGCGCGTGTACGGCGCCCTCTTCTGGAGCATGGCACCCTTGATTAACGTGACAGAACCACCACGTGTCTACGTGAGCTCATTTTGGCCGCAGGATTACGCTCCTGACACCAACAGAGATCTTTTTAAACGTGAGGAGATCTCTCTGCTGGAGGACCTAAATCAGGTAATCGAGAACCGGCTGGAAAACAAAATCGCCTTCATTCGGCAGCACGGCATCCGCGTGCGCATCCACGCCCTCCTGGTCGACCGCTACCTGCAGACGTATTATGAGAAGCTGGGCTGGTTTAGTGACCCACATGAGGTTTTCAACGATATTGTCAGTGACCCTGACAAATTCTACATCTTCAAGTCCATTCTGGCCAAGACCAATGTGAGTAAGTTCGACTTGCCAGAACCGGAGGCGTATCGGGACTTCTTTGGAGTCAATCCTCCCAGCGGCTTTAAGCTCCTCTCCTCGTACTGCAGCTGGTCAGGCGGATGCCTGCTGGAGAAGATCGAGAAGGCCATCACAGATGACCTGCCGGCTTTGCTCAGCAGTCTGGCAGAGAAACGGGAAGCCAAGGCAGAAGCGGCTGCAGAAACCAAAGAGAAGCCCTCAAACCGTTGGAGGAGACAGTAACAGAAGAATGGTGGGAGATGTGGGAAGTATGGAAGAGTGGCACCAAAGCAATGAATGAGAGTATAAGTGACACTTAGATGAGATTCACATCAATGGAAAGCCAGTTAAACACAGTATGTACAGAGACTCTTACCACTCTGTATAAAACAGACCTGGGATTCGGTGTCCTATTTTTCTTCCTTTTCCGTTATTCTTTTTCTTCCTTGTTCTAATTTAACTCAGCTAGCACATTTTACTTATTTATACTATGTTCAAAATAAATAACCTGTCATAATCTTATTTATTTATTGTTTGTTATGCAGCCTGCTGTTATATATATAACTGCTGTCAAACGATGAATCGCTTGACAGCACTATATATATATATATATATATATGAAGAATATTTTATATATAATTTATATATACAGAATAAAAGAATAAAATCTTTAAAAAGTACAAATTATTGGAAATTCTAATAGTTAAAACGCACAACATATTGAAGCGTCTTTGGTGTTTCCATGTTTTCTTCAAAACAAAACCGGAAATCGAGGGGCTATGACGTCATTGGCAGGTGACACAATGACACTATGGACACGGTCCGTGTCACCGACATTTATAATGTTACAAAAAAATTCTATTTCAGATAAAGGCTGTTCTTCTGAACGTTCTATTCATCAAAGAAACCTGAAAAAAATTTTTGGATCAAATAAATGCAGGCTTGGTGAGCAGAAGAGAATTCTTTAAAAAAAAAAACATAAAAAATGTTACTGTTCAAAAACTTTTGACTGGTATAGTGTATATATAAATATATATAGGCCTATATATATCGAAGTGGTGGTGGGCCGCCTGGACCAAAAAAATGCCAGGGCCGATTTTTTGTCCCAGTCCAGCCCTGGTTATGAATTACTCAGAGAATAAATAGAGCCATAATTATACTGGACGTACCTGTTCTTTTGATGACATACCGTGGACTCCACGCCAAGAGAGGCTTTTACGTCTTACCGTCTCCGGCGTTTATTTCCCCCGCGGTTTACAGGAAATCATCTTCGTGATGCCAGCCCCTAAGGGAATACATCGTTAGAGATTTTTGAATCAGTTTTCTGTGTTTTTTGAACGTATAAAGGGAACGGTGGCACGTGTAAAAAAGTTTTCTCTCAGAAACTGGCGCCTTTTTTTCCTTTTCTTTTCTTTACAGGTAACGTTAATACTCTTTCGACAAGCAGCAACCGTTACGTTTGGTGTTTGCTGACTTCAAACTGACATTACACCGAAACCGAGTACAAGAAATGTGTAAAATCTGGCATTTGGAAATATGAAATATAAACTTATATTACCTTTGCATGTCATTTGGAAAGGGAAAGTTAATTCAAACATCGTCGAGCATTGGAGAGGGTGTTTGAGGGACGGTGTTGACTGGATTAAAAAACTCAGCGTGTCAGTACACCCTATGTAAACTAACCACCCTATTTTTGTATTTTTATTTTATCGATACATGTTTGCTCCTGTCGTGTTGAATTCAAGCGATGTGCTCTAAAAAGCAGGATCTAGCGGATGGCAGTGCCTCAGTCTCGTCCACGCGCACGGAGCAAAAGTACACACATGCGCGTCCACGCGCCACTGAGCCATAGAATATAATGGAATCTGAGTGCTGACGTAATCCCAGCACGGATAAGAAACTGCTCAAGAGTCCAAGCCGGTCCATCCTCATAGTGAATGCACTTGGAATTTACTTCTGGCTGGACTCTTTTCACAAACAGACTGTGCTTTTTGTACTTGCACCAATCCATGTCAAGTGCCACTTCCTCTGTACTGTCAGCAGTAGGTGATATGTGATAATTAAAAGTCAATTGTTGTCGTCTCGCCATGGCATTGCCAGAGCAGCACCAGCCACTGCACGAGACGGAGGTGAGGTGCGATAGCGAAGGGGGATCGGTTACGGTGCGGATAACCGACAGCCGTAATCAACAGGTGGGACCAGACCAAGAAGGCGACCCAGTCGACATGGGCTCCTCCAAACCTTGCAAATACAGTATCTCGTCAAGCTGCAGCTCAGGGGAGTTGGGCGTTCCCAGGGCTATGATGACTCACCTGAGCAGTCCGAGGAGAGTGCCGCCGCTGTTTGAGAGGTCTGCCGCGCAGTGCTGGGACCCCAAGTTTAACTCGTCCATCCTGGAGGAGGCGTGCAGGGAACGCTGCTTCCCGCAGATGCAGAGGAGATTCCGCTACATCTTGTTTTACCTGGCCACCGCCGCGCTCCTGTGGGGGATATACTTTGGGATCAATAGCGCCAGGTGTGACCCTACACACTTCCTGGTCCCCATGGCGGGGTTTCTTGTACTGTGCCTCCTCCTCCTCTGGTTTACGTTCTCAAGGCCGTATGCGCGTTTCTACAACCACGTGTCCTTTCTACTTACAGTGATCATGTTTGGGATCACCTTGGCGCCTCAAACGCAAACTGCTCAGTTTGCCCATTTTGATGTCCAAAAAGCAGGCAATCAGTCACTACTACCTACGTCTCATAATGCTCCATGTATATCACCCGTTGGGACGTTCTCGCTTTGTATGGAGGTGCTGCTTTTGCTGTACAGTGTGTTGCATTTGCCCCTGTATGTGTCGGTGCTTCTCGGCCTGGTGTATTCTGTCCTCTACGAGGCTTTAGGCTGGCTGCACTTTGCTGAGATGGACGGTAGCTACGTAGGGTCAGAAAGGTCGGATTTGAGCTGGCTTGGCCCGGGTAAAGTCCTGCTTCATCTGTGCGCGCATATCATTGGCATTCACATATTCATCATGTCCGAAGTGCGCTCTCGGAGTACCTTTCTCAAGGTGGGTCAAGCGATCATGCACGGGAAGGACCTGGAGGTGGAGAAGGCGCTGAAGGAGCGTATGATCCACTCTGTGATGCCGCGGCTGGTGGCGGACGAGCTCATGAAGCAAGGAGACGAGGAAAGCGAGAATTCTGGGAAACGATACAGCGCAGGTGCCTGCTCCGTCTCCGCCGCGACCTCGTCCAGTCCCAAAAGCAACAAGCGGAAGAAGAACTCTATCCCTCGCGGGCAAATCATTTTCAGACCCTTCAACATGAAGCGCATGGAGCCGGTGAGCATCCTCTTTGCAGACATTGTGGGATTCACCAAAATGAGTGCCAACAAGTCAGCCCCTGCACTGGTAGGACTGCTAAACGACCTCTTCGGTCGCTTTGACCGTCTGTGTGAGTTGACCCACTGCGAGAAGATCAGCACTCTTGGGGATTGCTACTATTGTGTGGCGGGCTGCCCTGAGCCGCTCCCCGATCACGCATACTGCTGTGTGGAAATGGGGCTCGGGATGATCCAGGCCATCGAGCAGTTCTGCCAGGAGATGTCGGAGACCGTGGACATGCGCGTCGGCGTGCACACCGGCACCGTGCTCTGCGGTATTCTGGGAATGAAACGCTTTAAGTTTGACGTTTGGTCCAATGATGTCAACTTGGCCAATCTTATGGAGCAGCTGGGCGTGGCGGGAAAGGTGCACTTGTCTGAGGTCACAGCAAGTTTTTTGGATGACCGTTACGAGAGGGAGGACGGGCGAGTGAGGGAACGTGTTGGGCACAGTGTTACTGATCAGCTGAAAGGTAAGACACAAGAGTAATTTATCAGTTTTTTTTTTCTTTGGACTCATGCATTTGGGTGCAAAAGTCTGAGACCAAAATTATATATTTTGTACCAATAAGTACAAAATTAAATTGAAAATGAACATGATTTTTTTTTTTTAGAATGTCTTAGTATTTAGCTTGTCTCCTTTTCGCTTTAAATGACAGCAGCACTACAGTTTCACAAGCTCCACAAAACCAGCTGATCATGTTGTCCAGTGTGATTTTAAAAATGATTGAAAGAGCATCTTGTGGTTCACTGTGAATTTCTGTAAATTCCACAAATTTACAGAAATATCCCAAATAATTCTTAACGCTTCCTTTGCATTCTTCTAAATCTTAAAGCTCTTTATTTTTCAGGTTTAAATTTCATTTTAAGTCCCTGATTGTCAGAATTTTGGACTCCACAATATATGCCAGTTATGTACTAATGCTTGCTTTGATATGTTAGCTGTGTGCATTTGTGGTGTTTCTGTCCTTTTACTGACTGCTGTTACCAAGCTTTGCGGTGAAGATGGAGAAAGATGATAGTCTTTTTATGGTGCACCCTGTACTCTCAGGTCTCTGTACAAAGGGCTGCAACTCTTCTCTAGTTTTATTGCATCGTTAGTAACTCGGCTTTAAAAAAACTGGAAAATTATGATTGTTTTTGACATTTACTGCAGTCTGTAGCCATATCCTCTCAGGACCCTGTATAAAGGGCTCCAACCACGCTCCAAAATTACACCCGCCAACTGCCAAATGCTAAAAAAGTAGCTTTGTTGTGTAATTTAAACCAGTTTGTTTTTATTAGGAACTGAAGTGTGATTATTATATTAAATTATAAGAATGAAAATGACCATATTGTATATTAAAATCAAATATTTTCATAGATAATAAAAAACTAAAAACAACAAAATTTCGAGTTGGTAATAAATATCCTGTCAATTTTTTACCCTGGCTACAGATCTTTTTCACTTTTATTGCTCCCTTATATAATCTCGTTTGTATCTAACTGTAGCCTCGTTGTGTCATTGAAGGCTTGTTCATCTGTAGCTCTATTGTATTGCTGTTATTATTGTGGCGTCCCTTTGACACAGTCGCCACGCATTCACGCTTCTGCTTTCTCACTAGCATCTGCGGTATGCGCTGCTTTTCATGTCTTCTCAAAGACTGAAAGTGTAGGAATCCCTCAGGTTGAGTGCAGTGTAGAGAGTAACACGACCCTCCTCCTCCTGTTGGTGCGAGCGAGCGGTCAGTCGTGTGTGTAGGATGGCCGAACTTAAAGGAACACTCCACTATTTTTGAAAATAGGCTCATTTTCCAACTCCCCTAGAGTTAAACAGTTGAGTTTTACCATTTTTTTAATCCATTTTGCCGGGCGTTTTATATGAATGTATCTCTGAAGAGAACTGACTGTCTTCAGAAAAGTTTCGATGGCATTTTCATTTTATCTGATAAAGAAGCATTCATGAGCGGAGCTGCTTTGATTACAGCCATTACAGAAGAAACCGCTAGTTCTGCCGCTCTCAAAGCGCCTCCTGCTGGCAAGACAATCAGTTTGAATTTTCAATAATAAGCCCATCTCCAGCAAGGTGTTTTTTTTTGTTTTTGTTTTTTCTTGCAGAAACTCAGAGCACTTTTCATACTCTTTATACTGG